TTTTCTGGGACACTTCTTAGGTTTTTCCGCCATACTCCTAGTTGCTATAGCCTACTTTGTCGCTACCTTTGCTCCCTCTTTAGCCCTGACAAACCATACAAAGCCACTAAACCAAAATCATTGCTTGTTGACATAAAACGTATCACTACTACTGGCGCGCCACTGCAGGAATGCCGCCAGAGCACAGATTTAAAAACATGAAACACGAAATACAGAGAGATTTACCTGCCGGAGCTAGCTTTATTCTGTATTGTGTGAACTTATTTGGCGAGGGCTTGAGTGTAACAGACGTTCATTTATATGTAAGTATCTCACTCTAGCATACAATGAAGAAGCCCCAGTAAATGGCATTTATGTATTACTATATGTCCTTCTCTGCATGAACAAAACACACAAGTCAATTTCATAATCAGCTGCCACATTTTTTGTTTAATTTGCAAAATGCTGCTAAAGAAGAGCCACAGTGACCAGAATGACTTAGTTGACTGTGCTTGCTGTCAGTCTACCAATCGTCAATTAAATGACTGGCTGTTCTATTCTGCTTTATTCAATTTTGTTCATCCAATATCCTGTCAATGTCTGGGTGACGTATGTAACAGCAGTCTCAGCTGTCTCTTTCTATTTCTGTCGCCTCTTTTCTAATACATCTCTGTATCTGATAATGGCTGCATTGTCTGGAAGCCCGAACCCATCACACGGCCTCACTTAATACTTATTGCCAACCCACTGTCTTGTGTTCTTTGCACCTTCTCATTTACATGATATTCGTGTATATACTGCAAATACATTTCACACACGCTTTTTTTCTGTTCTGACCAGGATTTCAAAACAACTTAAAGGTTGTATCTGCACATGCGTTTTGTGTATACTCAACAATGTTAAAGTCATGAATGCAGATTCATTTGAACAGTTTCCGCCCACACAGTCGACTTCATCTTAGGAAGAAGTGGTCCAACTTTTTCAAAACCTTGTTGAATTAAAACATTTCTCTGCCAGCAGTCAGGCTGTAAAGTTTTCTAAGGCTGCGGCTGCAAAACAACCTTATAGCGTTTGGACTTTTGTTTGGCTAAATATGCACTGCCACATCTAAACTGTATACTTTTTTGTTGTTGTCCTCTTTTACCCTAAAAGCAGCAGGGTATTCATCGGGGCAGTGGTTATAAGACCAAACGTGGTTCCAGTGGAAAAACCTCCAATGTCAGAGAGGAGATGTGAGGGAGGGACAGAGATGATTACAGGACAAGAAAAGGGAAAGTAGCCATTAGGAGGAAAAGGAACGACAGCAGAGTGACCTGGCAGAGTGAAGATGTGGGAGCAGGACAGAGCGAGAGAGAACAAGCTCTTACTGGGTGTGTGTGTGATACCCGCTGGTTAATGGGATTTTAATGAATTAAGCTTTATGATGGGGCTATGAAGATGATTGTTAGGCATGCCTGTAATTGAGTGTGACTCTATAATGTAAAGATTGCTTGAGGAATAATCAAACTTACCATCAGTAAAACTGAGAAAGTAAGTTTCAACTCTGATGTGGAAAGTTGAAAATAAGATTTGAATGACTAAAAGTAAGGTTTGAATGTTACATCTTCTTCAGAGATTAAAACATGCCCTTTCAGCTTTGCATGCTGGCATTTATGACACTAATTTAAGAGGGGAAGGATATGAGACTCTGGGGAGCAGCTCAAAAACAACTCAAACCAGACTTGTCAGGGTCTAACGGAGGGTCGATCCATCATTTGTGCTTTTAAAACCTAAATCATAGTTTATAAATTGTGAATTTGCAATTTATAAACTATTTGCATGAGTGTGTTTTGTAGAGGGATCTGTTGATTTGCTTGTTTGTATATGTGTGCAGCATGTGTGGCCTTAGTTCCGTCCTGGGATTTCTTCGCCGAGCAGTCTGACCCACTGTGAGCTGTCATGTGTTTTTTCTGAGTCTTCTTGTCAGTGTCACCGGGCTGTTCTTGTGAGTGCACCGCTTGTGTGCAAGTGTTTCATGAATGTGTCTTTGTCTAAGTTTGTGCATATGTGTGTGTGTGTGTGTGTGTGTGTGTGTGTGTGTGTGTGTCGTAGTTTCAGTACCTGAGCAGCCGAATGGAAATCACACCCCTGCTCCTCTCTCCCCGGAGGTCTATCCAAAGTGTAAAAACCTGACACACATCATAATGTCATAACCCACTCACTGTGTGCAATGGGGGGAGGGGGAGCGGCTATAGGAACAGAGGGGCAGTGGGAAATCCGTGAAATATACCAGAGTACCCAGCAGAGAAAGAAGGACAACTAAAGAAGAAATAAGGAGCAGAGATGGTGGAAGAAAGAATGACGTGAGGAGGAAAGTGAGAAGAAATGTGGATCATGACACCTGCATAACATTTTGACATTGGCAAGAGTTGGGCATGATGTGAATCTGCATGTGCTTACCTATAGTCCTCAGGGGGTGGCAAGCAAGTGGGCAGAGCTTCAGGGATTTGTCCGTGTGCCAGTCACACCACAGATAAACTACAACGAGGAAGGGGATGTCAGTGTCAGTTTGTACTTCACTACTCATTTCTTAAGAAATGTCCCGGAGATTAAACACTCATTTGATACTAAGTGAAAGGAATGTAGAGACAAAACTGTGAGACACGAATTTAGTTAGTTTTGTTGAGGTTCCTTGAAAGAGTTGTTCCAATTAAACCCAAGTAAATACTGCGTTCAGTCACGTTTCGTTTACTACTTGAACCTTCTGTATATCTTTTAAATTGTATGCTTGACAGATTTTACATTTTTGCATGTTCAGCAAACGTGGTGTGCGTTACACTCTCACTTAGGCCTAATTGGAATTCATTCATTTTAATTTTCTCCAATATTACCATTATTTACAATTAGTTTCATTATGTAGTCCTGTCAGTAACCTTTTAATGTTTTTACAGATACATATCACTTCCTTTCTAGGATATTGGAAACTATGGACTTCCAGACTTTATGCTAAGCTAAGCTAAGTGTTCATTCCTGTTCGGTAATTTTTTCAGTAAAAGTTAAATGCACTGTATAATGCTCTCAGGATGTAATGTGACATTGCCCACCTCTATCCATATGCTGTTTCTCGGCCCTGAGCTTTTAAAATTCTGTTATATTTACAACTAGGATGTACTTTATACAGTCAGTATTGGACCATTTTCCATTGCACATGTATACACAGGGATCAAGCGCCTAGTAAATGTAGCCAATGCCAGAAATGAAGCGTTACTCATTAATAATGCCTATATGCTTGTTAAAAGAGTATGGTCAAAGTAACAGGCGTCTTTTATTGTTCCAGTTTGTAGCACTTTTTAAATATCTACAAACATCTTGTCCAGTGAGTTTCTAAAGAGCTCATGTTTCTGCTTTGAGCCCGACACGAGGCTCGCTCACTGTAACAGAAGCTGTAGACTCACATTTGTTCTGTTTTTGAATAATGGTTTGCCTTTTATTGCATTCTCCTCGCTCACTCTCACACCATGCTTGCCTCCCTGTTTAGTTTTATTTCATTCCCAGTGTGTATGCTATCCTGAGCAGCAGCAGGCCTCCATATAATGGCTGAAGCTGCTTGACAACATTATGTACGAGAGTGGCGCTCAGGTTTCACAGCACAGCGCTGCTGAGTGAAAAATAAAAAAGTTTGAGGCAAATATGCAGCCTGACAGAGTTTTTCTCTATACTTCAAACAATACAATAATTTTTTTATTGGTATAATTTTATTTTTATTGGCTGGTTGGCTTTGTATCTAAATTTGGCAAATGTGTTTAGCATTTTCATGATGAGGAGAATACAGAGAGGCTGGGACTATCCAAATCCCTAAAGCCTCTTCAGTGGGGAAACCCAGCCGATCCCTCCTCTTCTCCCTGGTCCAAAGATCTGAGCTGTGATTCCCTCTGGCAGGATTTCATAGGGCCACTGAAAGCTCTATTACACCAAAGCCAATCCCCTGACAAGCCAAATGACACGATAACAGGTGGCATTCTGCGCTATAAACTCATATAGACATTCCTCTCTTTCTACTTTGCCCGTTCCCATAGCAAAATGTCTTGTGCCTTTAAATCTGTTATTTGCTGATCTTTTTCTTATGCTTGTATCTCACCCTTATATAAATTTAAACAGTGTTCTAGGTCATGTACAGCAATATTTTTTACCCTAATTTATTCAGGGAAATTCAGCTGAGCATAATGTCTGTTTAAAGTGCTTCTCATGCACAAATACAGTTCTGTAAATTCACAGCTGGCAGCCTGAGTTGCTCTAGCAGACCAGATGTGAGTGAAGTGCCTTACTCTAGCAGGCAGGTTTAAAAGAATAGTTCAACCTTTTGGGGAATATGCTTATTTGGTTTCTTGGCTTTTTTTTGATACCACTCTCATGTCTGTAAACTAAATATGAAGTCTAGCTCCATATTTACCATAAAAGAGCCAGCCAGGAAACAGTTGGCTTACCTAAGCATACAGACTGGAAACGGGGAAACAGCTACCCAGGCTCTGTCCAAAGGTAAAAAGTCTGTCTTCTAGGACCTCTAAAGGTAACTAATTCACTTAGATTTTTGTTTAAATCGTGTGTGTTCATTCAAGTGTAAAATTGACAGGTTGTGCTCTTACGGGACGTTATGTCCCAGGCTATTTATTCGCCGTGCGCCAGGCAACCAGCAGGAAATGTTAATTAGTGAGCTTTAGAGGTGCTGGTAGGTGGGTTTTGTTACATTCAAAAGACCTGGGCTTGCTGTGTGTCCCTGCTTTCAGTCTTTATGCTAAGCTAACCTTATCGTCTGCTGGTTCCAGGTTCATGTTTTGCATACAGACATAAGATTTGTATCAATATTCTCATCTAACTCTCCGAAAGAAAGCAAATACACATATTTCCCAATGTGTCTAACAAGACCGCTAACCATGAATCTATAATCGCCCCTCATGTTTTTAAAAGACGTTAGCCTCTCAACTGGAAACCCTTTACTGTAACTGCTCACCTGTCCCTTTCTCTTTCCATGTTTTTGTCCATAGGCATGGCTCCAGAGGTATGGTTACCTCCCTTCTGCAGACCCCAGAATGTCAGTGCTGCGTTCTGCTCGAGTCATGCAGTCCGCTATCGCTGCCATGCAGCGCCGCTATGGCCTCAATGTCACAGGGACTCTGGACGGCAACACCATAGAGTGAGTCACGCTCATTTAAAAATACCTTTTAAAGATGGCACTTTGAGTCCTAATCTTTTTTTGCAATGTGTTTCTTTTGAAACGTGTGGGAGTTTGAAAGATCTGAGTCGCGGCCAGTTATTCAGTCAGCCCAAGCAATGTTTAATTTAGTAGTGTAAATTTTCATTGTGTTAGCTTGAATGCCAATGATTTGTGCGGATAATTACAGCTTATGGCTAGTAAAATGTTGTTAGTCATTTACTGTTTTTGATTGTTAAGACTCACAAACTGAAAGTGGCGCAACCATTTTTGAAATGGGGGACAAATGCTAGATGAATCTCTCCTTCATCCTTTGTTTTGCATTCTGAAGGCAAGCAGAGTCAGTTTGCCAGACACAGAGTTACCCTGACAGGGATAGAGTGGGGTGTTTTAATTAGATCAAGGAGCCTTTTACGGAGAGTACACCTCTGTTGTCAGATCAAAGGCTGCAAAATGTCAATGTAATAATACTCGGTGGAAGAGAAGGAAGAGCAGTGACGGCGCTTGGTTGCTCCTCCTACGATCAGCCAAACATGAACGCAGCAGCTCCGTGCAGACCAGGATGACATGCACTTTTAAATGGACAACGACAAGAACAGTCTTTCTGATGTTGCCTGTTGCGCATACACATGAATGTAATGGAGGGTAAACCTCCCTGAGACTTATATAGGTCTTTTAAGATGTACAAAGATGTTAGTTATGTGAGGATTGTAGAAATAAAACACAAAAGGTCAAATGCAGTATATGTAGCTCTGATTTCTATCCCTGGGGACTTAACCAGACATCTTTTTACCTGCACATCATTAAAAACAGTGTTCACTGACATTTGTCCCCGCCAACACTGAAATACCATCCGTCCTACAAATAGCGAGGAGCTCAAATTGGCCGCTGAACTGTAACATGGCAATGTGGTGGCCAGCGGTGTGAATGCAGACTAACAGCTGTCCAACCACTGGGCTGAAACTGAGTGAGATGTGATAAGTAATAACAGTATGCCTGTGTTTTTTTTCTTTCTTCTTCCACTTCTCCTTGTCGATGTAGCGATAACACAATAAGGTGAGGCGTCTTTTGTGTGTAGTATGTGAATGAATGTGTGTTTCATGACAGTATGGGAATTGCGAAGAATTGCATGTGCTGTGTTTTAGATTTTAAAGGAACATTTAAGTGTAGTGCATTCATGTGTTATCGTGTGTGTGTTTTGTATGCATCTCAACATGTATGCCAACACAAACAAACAAGATCAGAATTTGGTTCTAGTCATCATGTCGTCATTCTCAGTCACATTATGAAAAATATGCTCCTGTTGAAACCTATAGCAGAATGATCAATGTATCTTCAGTGTCAATTCTCTTTCATCTTTCCTGTAGGTGGATGAAGAGGCCCAGATGTGGGGTTCCTGACCAGGTAGGAGGTGCATCCAAATTCAGTGTCAGGAAACGGCGGTACGCCCTTACAGGACAGAAGTGGCAACACAAACATATCACATACAGGTGGGTGCTTTTAAATCCATCAAGATTATGTTGGTCGCACTTATCTTTAACTTAATATAGAGGAGGTGTCGTTAGCATTTTATAATAATGCAGCTTCCCTCCAACCCCTTTAACCGCCCCGACATGCACAGAGCCACACATGCTGTGTCTCCCCATCAAGAGGGCATTTGTCAAGACATCCGGTCAAGAAGATTAACCCAGTATGCGCCTACCACCACAAAGAAATAACTTACATCTTCACATACGCACACACGGTCGCATGTGCACATAAACAGGGCTTCTGGACTTCACCGGTGTCACTGACCTTTTTGTTAAGATACACATTCCTTTAACAGAGACAGAAAAAAACAGCTTGTTCTTAGTTTTTCATGCAGTTCTTGTTCTTTCCTTATCTGCCATTTTGAAAACCCTGTTTCTTCTATTTTCTTTGATGTGGCAGCCTATTTAAAACTGTAAAAGTTTGGTAGAGCGTTTGACTGGATAGATCCATCTGTAGACTTGTAGCAAAACACAATCGATAATATATTTGGGCTTAAATGTCCCATAATATGTTATTATGTTATGCTAAACACTCCGTTTTAGCCCCTGTCTCTTTAAGGCCTCCCTAAAAGCCCACTTTCTTCTGATTGGCTAACTGGCACAGCGCTGATTCGATGTGTGGAGATTAGGGATGCAACAATTATAGATATTGTTGGTAAGATTATAGTCAGAGAAATAATCACTGTTTCACGATTATCACGATTATTATGCATTAATTAATTCAACAACACTAGTAATTACTTAAGTTGATTTTTAATATTTAATTACATTAACAATTATACATCTATAATATTTAAGTATTATTATTATTAATAAAAGACAAATATTAACTTAATTTATCCCCCAGGGGAAATTGTTATTAAACTGAACTCTCAACTCTCAACTGCTTTGACAGAGTTCAAGCCCTCAAGCAACAGCGATGCGTGTTGCTTGATGCAGCAACAAACTGTCGTGGCGTGGCACAAGCCATTGAAAATAACGGGTTTCATAACGTAGCAGTGATGTCGTTGCAGTGGGTCTGAAAAGTTACATGCTGCTTTGTTTGTTTACATTGCACTGAAAGCTCGACTCTCACCGCTACGGCATCAGTTCCCTACCAAATTGCCACGTTATTTAACTCAATTATTATGTAGGCCAAATTACCTTTACTTGCAAAGCTGGGTGGTGATCCCGCAGGTGCTGCATCAAATTTGATGTAGGTATTCGCTCCTTTAGCAGCAACCTTTTTAACGGCAAGTTTTTGAACAGGTGATCAGTCATCTTCAGTAAGGCCCTGAAATTATCCCACACTTCCGACTTCTGCCCGTTCTTTGATGGAAATAAAGCTTCACTGCTGCTAGCTAGTTAGCTCAGTTAGCTGTGCAGCTAGCCATCCTATTAACTGACTCTGCTCGGACTGAAAGCTTGGGGCGACCAGGATGTGTTTACACCTTTAATATTAGTAGAGGAGCTTTGGACATCTATGAGCACCCAGTTTGGGCAGAGTCAGCTGATAACGGCAGCTACAGTTAGCAGTAGCTAGCGGTTACTGTAGAGCATCCGGAGGACGTCAGAGGGAAAACCATAAAATATTTAACTTTCCTTCATAACCGTAAAAGCACTTTCTGTGTGACAAACTGAACAACCTCCAGCTCTAGTTCAGCGAGGGAATGAGTGCTTGGTGTTGTGTTGCACTTGGGGGGCTGAGAGTGGTGTATTAAGTGTTCAGTCGGCAGGGCGACAGCGGTGAAGGCTGGAGCAGGTCCTGTGCTACGCAGATCCCACCATGATGTTGAGAAGGGAGGCAAATTCAAATGGCGTGTTTGCACACACATTTACTGAAAGACTGAGCAGGAGAAACAGAGAGAGGATGGTTTATTCAAATAGTTTGGGCAGTGTTAGGACTAACGCGTTACAAAAGTAACGCAATTACAGTAATGTATTGCTTTTTTCTGTAACGTAGTAATATAACGCATTTTAAAGCATTTTAAAGCATTTTAACCTGAAATAAAGTGCTGTTTCGTTTTTTCATAATTCACCAACCCCGAGAAACATTTCAGCACCAGAAAAACAAATCCATGAGTAAAAGAGTAACGTTATTTCCTGTTGCGGGAATAGTCATTATTGTAGGATCATGCATAAATAGATTTCTATAGGTTATGAGAAGCTACTTTCAGTTCATCCTGACCACCCAGTGGGAGTCTTTAGACACACCGGCAGCACATATTTAGGTTGAAAAGACATGAAAAAGTGCATTTTGCATAATATGCGACCTTTAACCAAAGGTTAAAGCAAAGTTCAGCATTGCTTTATGCCAAACTACACTCACAATACACAACACAGACCATTTTCTTTAAACCTCGGAGTGTAGAAGAACCAGATTTATCCTTAACCGTACATGTAGCATAAATTGGAAAAGAGGGTACATATAAGAGCTGTACATGCACCAGAGATCCCGAAATATCATAATTAACAGGGACATTTTCTAACATTCAGCTACACGAGTAATAATATATAAGACAACATGCTGCGGTTATATAATATTCCTCTGTTGATTTAGCGAGGTCAGTGGCGCAGATTCTGTAACTTTCTATACATACTATACTTGTCGCTTGCCTCCAGCTTCATGTTTCATGAGATAATCCTTAAGAACTGGATTTGCTTTTTTAATTTTGCACTGCCCTGGGGATAAATGCACAAGCAGTGTTGCATGCTGAATATAATGTAGTGGATCAGTAACCTATAGCTGGAGTAGGACTGTATATCACTGATGGCAGAACTGTCCAGATTCATGCCTGTGCATTTTTCTTTTTTAAAAATTACATTGCATTTGGAATTCGTGTAGAGTTAGTGCTTAGTTCATCTGTGAAGGCACAGATTTGAAAAGAAGAAAATGAGCGTGCTTGATGAGGAGTGGAGGAGCAGATAGGAAGAACTGAGGAGGGAGGAAAGTGAGGAGTGGAGGGAGAGCGTTGGAGGAGAAACAGCTGCAGAGAGAAAGGAATGAGCTGAGAGGAGGAAACCCCAGTGGAACGCAGAGGGGTGCTCTCTGACAGATTAGGGTTATGTAATGGGATGGGAGCATTTTGAGGATGTGTGTGTTTGTGTGTGTATGTATGTGTGTGTCTGTGTTATACATGGATGTGTGCCTAGTCTCCAGTCAGTTGTCAGATGTGCCTGCAGCTGCTCCTTTTAAGTCAAATTGGTGCAATGGACGTAGTTAGAAAATGTAGCACATTATATATCATCTGAAGGTCCTTAAAGGTTCTGTGTTGCATTTCCATATCGATAACTCGTTACCATTTTGAAATGTCAGTGTGAAAATGTTATCAAAAGTTCAAGATTTAAGCTGTAGGGTACAAAAAAGTATGCAGGAGAATTTCACAGTTAAAACAATTATATGCTAGTCGCACTGTTCTACCTGTATAAGAGTGTTTTACCTTGTCAGAACCTTGTGTGTATGTCGGCTATATAGGTGTAAAACGTTGTTATCATTTCTCCTGTCAGGTTCTTTTAAACAAATGCATGGATATTAAAGAAACAGAAACAATATGCAGTATATTTACTGCTTATGGGAAACTTTCATCTCAATTGACATAAAGTGCAGTTAAAAAAACTTTAGTCTAATTTTTTTATATTCGGCCATCGCTTATCCTAACAAAAGTTAAGTTGCTGAGAACTGTGAATAGCGACAGGTAAAATGGTCAGACAATAAGACAGGTTGTAGAAAACTAGCCGGGTCTTCCGCATCATGTGCCTGGAATAGTAAGAGCAGTCAAGACTTCTGCTGGCCGTGGCGGCTACTTTCATGTTTAGCGGTCCGCTAACTCGAATGGGGGGAAAAAAGGATTTAACCGTATCGGAACAAATATTGATAGGGAAACGAGTCATGAGGCGTAGGTTGTGATAAATTATCCAATGTTTTACAGCTGCTTTTGTCACAATCTAAGTCTATGTGAAAAAGTCTTATTGGGCCATTGATGGACCTCACATGATGGACCAGGAAGTTGTAATTATGCTGTTTAGCCTCCATGTTAAATTGGCTTCAAAACACAGCGCACTTCCTGGGGGCTTGGCACACACAGACTGTCAAAACCAGGAGATCAATCTTTAAAATGTGTTTGACAGTTCTCAACACCATCATCTTTAGCTTCCACCCAACGTTAGCAGTGCTCATAGTTAATAACTACTTCAATGTCCACATGCCTGTACTTTTGACTTTTCATTAAAAAAATATGTTTTCTGTCACAATTCTCAGTCTTTTGTACTGATCATTTAACTGGGAGAGTTTCATGATAATCCAAGCTGTAGAAATGCTCCAAGTGTGAGCCAAATAACATTGTCTATAGGAAAAATTTATGTGATTCTTTCTTTCAGAACCACCCCTAAATAACTCTCACTTTGCAGCTCTATTTGTTTACAACAATTAACTGTTTAAAGTGAGTTTATTGCAAGTGATAGAATATGAAATTAGATCCAACTTTTCTTGGTTTAACCAGCAAACCTCTAATTTTATATCAGTCCAACATAAAAATGATAAATCGCATCGTTTTACTTTAACTGTACTTTTGGTTGAAGTTGGAAGTTGAAGTAAGAGGGAACATAATGCTTTAGTATACTGTTTGTAATGTGTGTCACATTTTTTTTAATCTACTGCAATGTCTTGAATCCAAGTTTAGGCATTTGACTGAAGTCCTGTCACTCTTTCTCCCCAGATTTATTAGTTGAACAGTCCAAAAATAATAAAACAACGCTGGCATTTGGAAAGTATAACAAATGCACTGCCGCCTCAGGTGTGTGCTAGTTTCCATGTAGCCACATACAGTACTTGCTGTGGGGAGGCACTAATTAGCTTTGGCATCCCTACAGTTCTCCCTACATGCAGGTACTGTTATAGCACATGAGTTGCATCCGGAATCATTATCACCATGGAGTTTAATATTTATTATGGCTTCAGAGCAGGTTGGGATTCTTTCATTTGTTGTTTTACAGCTTCTCCCTGCACGTGTTTCTCTCTTTTTGCTGTCAAAATAGGAAGCATAATATGAGATGGGCAATAGAATCAAATTAAAACATATTTTTATTCCTCAACAGGCCACAGTTGTTCGTAAGGCCTTTCATTGTAACCCCAGACAGAGCAGGACAAGGACATGTATTCATGGAGAACCTTGCAGGTGCTACAAATTGTTTTCTTTATTTTAATCTCAGTGAAAACATCGGTACCTTTGCAGACTCTGGTTGGGTCCGCTGATATTGATTTGAAAGCGGGATTGTTTTGTTGTGTTTATCACACTTGCATATCTCTATCTCTTCTACATAAGCACTTCAAAAGAAAAGGCCATTTTGTGTTGCCTCCGTAACTGGGCTCAACCAGGCAGAGACTGTTTGCTTACTCAACAGCAAACCATCACACACCACTTCGGTTGATTTTCAATATTGTTTCTATAATTCAAGAATACTGGCAAATCTTGAAATGCGAACATTTTCTTCTCAGACTTATTGTTGGACAATTGAGGACGCACACTTTCCAAGCTGTTATTCATTACAGTTGATATCTCTTATGACAAATCGGATCACAATAAACAACAAGCCATCAAAACAGAGCATGGAACAGATTATTTAAAAAAAGAAAGCAGTCTCAAAATATGTTCAGTATGAGCACTAAAATATACTAAAAGTCATATAGGGAAAATATATGCTGATCTGCCATTCATTTATGTAGCATTAATAATTACTTGTCATGTAAGGAAGGCTAACAGTTAAAGCTGCTATAATCATTGGATCAAATCACTGTGTGTATATGTAAAAGCTGTTGCTCCAAGTGAATCCACAGCGAGCTATCATTCGACCATGATGTACCTCACAGCTCTGCAAAATGTTTTAGTGTCTTTCAGCTCATTGTTTTGTTTTTACAGCCCACAACTTTACTGTTTTGGTTCACTCTTATCAGCATTATTGCTTCTGAAACCCACCATACACTATCTGGTCAGCACCAAGTGGCAGACATACAACGTTCGCAATTAATTGGTGAACATAGTGTAGCAGCCAGATGTTTTCCTCAAGGGCTGGTGGAGACCAAACCCAGAGCTGAAAAGAAGAGAGAGTATTGGACACATTCATCAGGTGGGCACAAAAACGACTCCAAATTAGTGGTAATGCTGCTTTGTGTCTACTCGTGTAGATAAGCGACTGTTTGCTAACATATTAAATAATATTAAATTGATATGGCGATTAATATGTCAAAGTTGTCTTTACAGCATGGCCACCAAATAATCCAAAAAAACGATTATTGCAGGTTTAACTTTAGGCTTGACAAAACTCTTTTGTAGCTGTTAAAATAAAATTTGCAGATTAATATTTGGTTCACATAAATCATGTGAGAACATCACCTGACCCCCCAAAAAGACCAGTTTAATTGCTCTCTTTCATCTTTGCAGATCGACCTGCCATGCTGCTGTTAAAACCGCTTACTCCCATCATTTCAGCCACCAAAAGCCCTGCTTTCTTTTTCAACAAGTCCATTTCTGTTGATTTGTTTTTGTAGAGTTGTCTTTTAAAATAACATGTATTCCATTTCTTCATGATAGCCGTGTGTGTGTGTGTGTGTGTGTGTGTGTGTGTGTGTCATTGGCTGAAAGTGAAAGTTTTACCAAAACTTTTGAGAGCGTAATTAAAGCAAAGACATCTTTGCTAAAGTGGTAGTCAGCTGTCAGCAAGTCAGTCTTGAAAGAGCAGATAGAGAAAGCGAAGCAGTTTGTGGTTTGGTAGAAGCAATTAGAACATTTTAAATGAACATTGCAGGTTATCCAGTGACACTCTATTTATATTTAATAACCAGCCATTAAATTTCCCTTTTCAGAGTCTGAGTCAATAATTAATCTGAGCATACATGCAATATTAATATGCAGTTTATAAATGTGCCTTGCAGCCGTCTGCCCATGCAGATGAAGATGACAAAAGACGTTCTGATAATATTTATTTCTATTATGGAAAATGACAGTCTGACAGCCAAACAGAGATGCTGTGAAAAACTAAGGAGAGGAGGAGAAAGAGAGTACACCAAGGAAACAGGGTAGATGGCATTAGAAAGAAGGGAATCCTGAAACAATTTTAAACACCTGAGCAAGAAGACTTGTAAAATAGGGGGGGAAAGTAGTTGGCGCAGTGTTGTTTTTGCTGCACATTTTATTTACACACCGCAATTAACTGAACATCAGTCAACCAAGTTCCTACTCAACTCAAACACTGCACTACCGGCATAAGAAGACAGAGTGTTGTGTGTTTACAAGCGTCTAAGTTGAATGATGTAAACCAATACCTATCTGTCTATCCTGAGAGAGAAGCCACATTTTAATAGAGCGTGACACTGAGATATATTCGGAGTGAACGATGCGGGGAGAGGTTTTCTTGATTGCCCAAACCAGACTGGGGCTCTCAGCAGGCAGTGGGCTGTTGATAATCCTTAATTAGAAAATAAATTCCAGTGGCAGGAAATTGTCCCTTCCTATCCGCACCTGCAGCAACTCAAAGCCGGCAGGGGAGGACCCAGCTGTTTTCTCTCACAAATCGCTCCATTTAGCTCTCTGTTGGTGAACAGGATGAGTGTGAAATGGCAGCATGCAGGGAAAACAGTGATAGTGATGGATTTTTAAATTTTTAAATTTTTTTATTTTTGTTACTGTAGTGTGATCATGTAGATTGACCTGCGGTAAAGTACTCCCTTTTCAGCCCTTGTGTTGGTAACAGTTAGACTAAGCTGACTCTTATTTTCTATCATCATGCTTCAGAGGAGTTAGAGGTTATTTACTTGCCCTGATTAGATTCTAATTTTTCATTTTGGACATCCAGCAGAATAAGCTACTTCTAGCTGTGTTTGTTTTACCAATCGCTTGGAGATCCCAAGTCTTATCAGACCAATTTACAATAGATTAGCTCATCCTGACAGTTGAAGGAGACGTCCTGATTTGAGGCTTACCAGGGCATGGTGAAAAGAGAAAATTATCTGTTCGTGTGAAATGTATACAAAGACTTCAAGGGTTGTTCCCTGTCTAATTTTCTCTTCCTGTATCTCACGTCTCTGCAGCATAAAGAACGTGACACCCAAAGTGGGTGCAGAGGAGACCCATGATGCCATTCGGCGAGCCTTTGACGTTTGGCAAAATGTGACACCGCTGCGCTTTGAGGCCGTGCCCTACAGCGAGCTGGAGAGGACCAAGAAAGACGTGGACATCACCATCATCTTCGCTTCGGGCTTCCATGGCGATAGCTCACCCTTTGATGGCGAGGGTGGCTTCCTGGCCCACGCGTACTTTCCAGGGCCGGGAATAGGAGGCGACACACACTTTGACTCAGATGAACCATGGACGCTGGGCAACCCCAACCATGACGGTAAACAATCATTAGTATTCTTTGGAAATGTTATAATGGCTTTACGTGGGTAGGTGTCAGACATGTTTATGAAAAAGGTCAGTCAGCTAACTCACCTTAAATGGATTAATATGTGAATGCACAATACAGTGTTGATATTTGCGTCTAGGCTCTGACCTGTCACTCCCCATACAGAAACGGCGAGCTCAGCACAGCAGGGAGTGACCATAATCCTGTAACTTACCCCCTAAGGGAACATAGACTCAGTTTACAGGTGGTAGCTGGAGTGGAGACGGGGCTTATGAAATGCTCTATGAACAGCAGCAGCAGGGAGTGGGGAGTGATGAGAATAATTTACCCCTAGGGGAACATAGACTCTGAGTTTACAGGTGCATGATGAGGTGGAGCAGCAGCAGCAGCAGCAACTGACAGCAAAGCTTTCAGGAGAGCTGCATAGCATGGCATAGCAGCAAAAGAGTGAGCAGAACACTGACGCTAGTAGAACACCATGATCACAAGGGTGCGATGCTCTATCCATTGACCATTAATGTTTGAAAAAATATTCTTAACTCAGAGATCCACTTATACTAGCTGTTTATTTTAGTCTTTCAACTACGTGTCAAGGTCTTTATCAGCAAATGGCACAGGTGTCATTATTCCATGCAGAGTACAATCTACTATACATGTTATCTCAGCCAGTAACGTGTTGTTTTAAATGGATTTTTTATTAATGAATAAAATAAAAAGATATTGGGTTCTGCTGTAGATTTCAGAACATGATTGATGTTTAATGGAGAGCGGGGTACAGTTTGTCAGAAGTGACGTCATTCAGTTGCATCATTCTCTACAGCTGTGGTCAGCAACAATAGGTGGCCAGTGGGCCAAAGCTAGCCCGCTGGCCTGTGGCCAGAGTTCTTTGATAACAGCAAAAAAAACACAAAAACATTATTGCGGCTGGTGCTGAAACAGATCTCTGTCATGGCAGCAAAAGTTACTCACATAATCACTTCCTCTTAAGGGATTGTGCCTACAAAATAAAAGAGCGAGAACGTCTTTGCAGCAGTACTTTGTCGTGTTTAATTGAGAGCTTTTACTTTGAAAAGTTCTGAAGGAAATTCAAAAGAGTCTCTGGCTTGCTTGACACACCTCTGAAAAAAACGTCTAAAAATGTGAGATCAGATTCCCCTGAATGAGAAACACAGGAATTTCCTCTGCCAGGAGAAAAATAACACTAGCAGCAAGTGGAGATTGAACACACAACCCATTGAACAAGAGTCCTGTGCACTACTGATTGAGCTAAACAGGCACAGAGTAATGACAGATTATAAATGATATTGACTTTGTCAAATGATAAATTGACTATGTTCTGGCCTGCCATCTAATGACTTGAAAAGAATTTGGCCCGATGCCAGATTTATTTGCCGATCCCTGCGCTACAGTATAACAGTGTAGATTTAAGGCTAGCCTGTAATGGTTTAAAATTAGATCTGCTGTCATTTAGGGTGATATATCGGCCTTGTGACTGCAGGTATCTTCTATCATTAATTTAATGTTAATACTGAAATTGGAACAATAATTTGTTGCACTGCTTGTCAGTGGGAAAAGTAATAATGTTATTGATGCATAGTGATAGTAAGTGGACAGGTCATGGAGTTTCTGCAGTATTTGTGTTCGAAACAGGAGTTTGTCAGCTTTCTGAGGTATCAGGGAATATTTTTTACAAATTCTTTACTACATTGAGATGTAGTATACTGGATGTCGTAGCTTGTTCCATACATGTGTTGCTTTAAACTGGTTTTCAGACCGTCTGCATATGAAACTAGACTGTTCATCCATTTAGATGAGTGGCTCAGTTATAGAACCACTCAGTAAAGTCATGAGGAAATGCAAGTCTGATGGATATTGATGTATTTGTGCTGTAGATTTCTAGTGTGATTCAAGTCTCACCGTTTGAGGCTTGGTCACTCTCCTCTCTCTTCGAAAACATCCAAACCTGCTAGCAGACATTGCTCTCTGTGATCTATAGCAATCGCATCACCTCTCACTCCACTGCGACCCCAAGCTCGTGCCATAACTGAGTGTTTGCCCCCAGAGTTTTACAGCATGTCACGCTGCGTGTAAGCTTTACCCGGGTCTGCTTGTCATGCTATGACGCGGGTTGCATGTTGAGCAGCTGTTTAGCGTTGTGGTGATCCCAGTGCAGCCTCCAGTGTGGTGATGAAACTAATGAATACTGTAAAGGAGACATAATAGAAGTAAAGTTAAATAGAGTAATGAAAATCCAATCATATAGTGAAAGTTAAATGGATTTTGGGTTAATATTTTTTGACCAGATGCTTGTCACAGGAGGGCAACATATTTCAAACTGGCCTCTCAAAATTCTAAAAGATGGGGGATTTCTTCTTTGAATTCCTCATTAATATAAGGGGCAAGCGTGCCCCGTGGTCCACCGAGACAACTCAAGAAGAGCTATGACTGTTGCTGAGTCACAAGTTAAAACAATGACGGGGACGACTTAGCGAGACACAAGGAGACTCTCTCAAGAAGGGAGGACACAAAGAAGGGTTACTAGAAGGAAGGAAGCCGCGATAACAGAGAGGGAGAAAGAGAAGATAAGAGAGAATGGCAGAGTATCTCTAGACAAATATTGGAGGTTTGAGAGCTCACAGGAGAGAAAGACGAAGAGGGAACAACTGAGAGAGCGAGAAGTAAAGAAAACATGTGAAGAGGAAAGGGGAGAGAGGAGAGCAGAGGAGATGAGTGGGAGCTGTTGAGCACTATGCGTCGGAAATAGAAGTGAGGAACTTGCTGTTGAATTTTAAGTAGGAGCATAGGGGCTTTTGTAGGCTTAGATAATATGTTGTGAACGGCTATATTTAAGGCTTTTTAGAATTCGTCGTTTGATCGAACTGAAGAACCCCTTCTGCAGGTTGAAATACACAATTGAAGCGATTAACAATAACCTCAAGTACGCTATTGGCACGTCTGCCCTTTCACTGACCATGTGATTCCCTCATAAAAACTCATATTAACACACACACACACACACACACACACACACACACACACACACACACACACACACACAGTGTTGTCATCCCTGCTGTCACAACTTATAGGAAGGAGAAGCAGCTGTCATTGAAGGCTATGATTCACTCCCTTCAGCACTACCAGAGACAAACTGTCTCTCTACCCCTCAATGCAATATTCATACAGCGCTGCTACGGCCCAAACTGCTGTGAAAACATCCCATAATGCATGCAGTTTTATTACGCACTCTCCAGCTGGCTTTCTTGCCAAATATGAACATGCACCAAGTCAACTGCCGTGGCAGGGGGTGCTCTTATTCGTGCATGATGACCAGTGTTACACTGAAATGAATTTCCAAAGGCTCATAAAGCTTAAAGCTGCCCACAGCCAGTATGTTATTCTGAGATGTTGAATATCTTCAAATTTCACGATTCTTATGCCAAAAAATACTACAAATATCAGGTACTCTGTATTTTAGCCAGATAGTTTTTTGTCTTTTTTGGCACGGCAGCAAAACCTCTGAGGTAGTGTGTAGATTTTGGCAGGCTAAAACCTCAAACCTCATGCTGCAAGTATTACTAATGTTACTACTAATGATGAACCATAGTCATGTGTCAGTGTGTGCCGTTGTACCAGTGTAGCATTTGGCTTTGAGAAGAGGCATGTGGGTCTGTTTGCGTTTGTGTAGGCAAAATGCAAATTACATTAGATTTTGATTCCTGATTTGTAAGAATACAATCGTGGCTAATATCAGTACTGGAGTATGATTAAAATCTAATAACAATAAATTTAACCAAAATTGATTTATGCCATAAACACATAACATGTAACAACCAAACATTTTGTGGTAGAGAAATGAGTAAAGATACTTCACTATTGAGCAATAAACTGTCATCAGAAATGAATGAGTAAATATAACTGTAAATATTGAGAAATAATTCCAAATAATGTCTAATAGATAAAAACACAATTAACTAAGAAAAAACTAAAATATGCACAAAATGTGGCTGCTAAAATGATTATTGCTGCAGATGATACTGATAGTTGGACTTTATTGTCCCGGTGCGGGAATTCTTTTTATTGCGATAGTATTGTACTGTGACTTTGACAGTGATTCAGTTCAACGGCAGCTTATCCATTAGACGGGGATGTCACTGACTGTCCAATATCAGATGTTTTATAAGACGCCGTATATCAGCCTAACCAAACAATTAACTGTAACAGCGAGTGTATTGGAAAGCAAAGGGTGGCATTCAGATCGAAATCAGTGCCTATAAAGGCTTACTGAACACCAAATGCACGGAGATTCAAACTCCGGAAATAATCAATTAATTGTCGTCAATCACGAGGCCACTAGTACATCCTTCATGTTACAAAGTAACCTACTAGCAAAGTGCACTTACAGTATTTGAATGGCTAGTGCAGAAGACATTGCATTGTGTTGTACTGCGTGTTTTTGTTGTTTTTTTTTGTTTGTTTTTTTTACTTTTTTTGGCTTCTGAAGATAGAAAATGTTTGAGAACCACTGCACTAATGAAATGAGTGATGCTTTCTAGATTATGATTGCAAGGGGCTGGGTAGTAAAACAATAATGATAATAATTACAATATAATTCTCCTCAATAACGATATAACAAATGTTCAATACATGTATGATTGTATTCATTTGAATCACAAATGATTACAATGAACGAATTAGCACTTGAGTTTTCTATTAATGATATTTTTGGAGCTGAGGAAGAGGGACTAAAAAAAGATTTTGCCTAATTTAACTCATGCATATTTGTTGAAAAAACATTTTATCATAATTGCTTTGAAAGTTCTACCTCAGATTTGTTAAGTGATCCACTGTTTGGCAAAAAATTGTTTAAAACCACAATTAACCATCTGGTTTCTTCAACTTTCACTCAGGAGTAGGGCTGAACGATTTAGGGAAAAAATCTAATTGCGATTTTTCTGCCAGATATTGTGATTACGATTTTATTTGCGATT